CTAGAATAACCCTGATACTAAAATATGAAAAATATATCTTAAACAAGGAAAAAGGCCTATATTCCACTTAAATAAAGATCCTTGAAAGTATTAATTCTTCATAACAATATATAAAGGAAATATGTCATGATCAAGTAGATTTTGTCTTAGAAGGGAAGATTATAATTTACCATGTCAATAGACTAAAATAAAATCATCTCACTAAATGCAGAAAAAAATATTTTTTAAATTTATAAATTTAATGTTTATGATTTTAAAAATGTTGATGAACCTAACAAGAAGGAACTTCCTCTACCTGATAAAAGATATCTATAAAAACCTACATTGTTGTGCCAATGTTGCTCAGTGGTTGAGTGTCAACCCATGAACCAGGAGATCACAGGTTTGATTCCCAGGCAGGGGCCATGCAGTGGGCAGCCCGTTCATGTTGCTCTCTCATCGATGTTTCTATCTCTCTATCTCTCTCTTATACTGTCTCTCTAAAATCGATAAAAATATATATATAAAAAAACAAAATAAATGCAAAACAAAAACTACATTATTGTATTTAATGGTGATAAAATGAATGCCCTCCATACACCACAATCAAGAGCAAGGCAAGGATATTCACTTTCCACTAGTATTCAGTGTTGTACTGGAGAACTTGTTGATGGAACTAGGCAATTACAAACAAATAAGAGCTATGCAAATTGAAACAAAATATACAAAACAGTTTTGATTCCAAATAAGAGGATTTTATATATGTAGAAAATACTGTGTAATCTACAAAAACTGACTAGAAGTAATGAATGAGTTTACCAAGGTTACAGAATATGAGATCAATATACAATGATAAATTTATTTTTACAAACTCAGAATGTTTGTTCAGAAATTTAAATTTTAAAACAACCATCTATAACAGTATAAAAATAATTTAAAATAATTTTAACAAAATATGTGCAAGATTTGTATGCTCTTGCGAAATTAAAGATCTACAAGTAAATAGGAGAAATAATATTTTATATTCTCAGATCAAAAGACTCAGTACTGTCAAGATGTCAGTGTTCCCTGACTTGGTCTATAGAAATTTCAATAAAATTTCAGCAAGCTCTTTTGTGTAAGAGATGACCCTAAAATATATATGGAAATGTAAAGGACCTAAAATAGCCCAAAGAATTTTGAAAAACTTCTAGAAAGAAAACATAGGGGAACATTTTGCAAACTTTGTAAGGGAACTATTTTTTACTTTTTACTTATGACACAAAAAAATATGATTTTTTTTATTAAATGGCTAATTGTACTTCATCAAAATTAAAAATGCTTATTCTGTGAAATAAACTATTATGAGAATGAAAAGACACGACAGAGTGGGAAAAATTTGTACAACACAAGTCATGAAAATCTTCTATCTAGACTATATAAAGAACTCTCAGAACTGAATATTAGCAAAAGATCTAAACAAACACTTCAAAAGATATAGGAAATGGGAAATAAGTACACAAAAAGTTTTTCAACATTATTAATCATTAAGAAAATATAAATTACAAAAAAAGTAAAATGCATTTATTAGTATGGCTGAATTTTTGAAAATGCTAGCAAGTATGTTGAACTCCCACACATTTTAGGTGGGAATGCAAAATGGGAAAGTGATTTTAGAAATCTTTTTTTTTTTCTATTTCCTATTAAGTCAACCCAAGCTTACCACATTATTAAGAGATCCTAAATCTATGTATTTTTCCCAGATGGAATGAAAACATATATCAACTCAAAGACCTCTACATTGTTGTTTATGGCAGCTTTAATTGTAATGATTAAAACGATTAAAACGCTGGGGGGGGGGGTGTTCACCAACTGGTGAATGAGTAAGCAAGTTGTTGCACATCCACCAATAGAACACTCTCATTAAAAAGAAACAAAGTGTTGATATAGTTATCCACATGCATTGACCTCAGATACATTATTCTAAGTAAAAGAATCCAGATACTAAAGACTGCATACCATATAATTTCCTACAGCCTTCTAAAAAAGGCAAAATTATAGGGACAGAAATCAGATCAGTGGTTACCAGGACCTGAAAATAAGGTAGGGGTTTGATTGTAAAGGGGCATGAAGGAAATTTGGGTGGAGAAGGTTATGATAGACATGTTCTATTTCTTGATTGTAGTGGAGGCTACATATTTTCTACATTTGTCAAAACTTACCAAACTGTACACCTTAAGAGGGTAAATTTTGTAGACAAATTATATTCCAACAAACCCAACTTGAAAAAAAAAAAATGGTAGGAAGTATGAGAGAATAAAGCAGGTAATGGCACTTACAGTCATGTTGGTCTTAGCACAGTTTTTTTATTTTTTAAATAAGTCTTTATTGTTCAGATTATTACAGGTGTTCCTCTTCCCTCCTCTCCCTCTCCCCCCCCCCCCATAGCTCCCCTCCACTTGATTCCCAACCCCACCCCATGCCCTTACTCCCACCACTGTCTTCATCCATAGGTGTAAGATTTTTGTCCAATCTCTTCCCATACCCCTCAGAACCCCTTCCCCCTGAGAATTGTTAGTCCAGTCCCTTTCTAGGTCACTGATTCTATTATATTCACCAGTCCATGTTGTTCTTCAGATTTTTTATTCACTTGATTTTTAGATTCACTTGTTGGTAGGTATGTATTTGTTGTTCGTAATTTTTTACCTTTACTTTTTTCTTCTTCTTCCTCTTCTTAAAGAATACCCTTCAACATTTCATGTAATCCTGGTTTGGTGTTGATGTTAGCACAGTTTTGGGGTTAAACAATGTGCTGGGTCTTTTATCTCCCTCTCTCAATCCCTTTGTTGGTTGGGCTTCACCAAAGGTAACTCCACGGGAGATTGCTTCCAGGAAGCAGAGTGAAATCTCGGTTGTTTACTTCTAAGGTTCCTTCCCCTATAGGTGGCTCTTGATGAAAGGTCAGGCTTCTGCCAGCCAACTTTTTCTATACAGACTCTTCTGTCTCTGGGTCCCTGTAATCACCTTTAACCCTTTCTGGTTCCCCTACGTGCTGTCCACATTAAATTCTCCCTGAATTGCTGAATTTGAACGCACCATTCCTTTCCAACCAGAATCCTGACTGATAGAAAGAGCAACAACTCCTGGTCCTGTCGTTTTAAAGCTGTGAGCACTTAGGCGAGTCGTTTTACACATATTTGAGCTTTCATTTTTTCATCTATTGCATATGAATGATGATACTTTCTTGGCAAGGCTGTTAGGAGAGTGAAATGATGCTACAATAACTGAAAAACTTTTCATTAATATTTTTTCCCTTTCTCATTTCAGTCTCTCCCATCCATTACTGTCGTCTCAATTTTTTTCACATGGTTCCATTCCTACCCTCTTTTTTTTAAGAAAACAGATTTTTTCTATTATGTACAAATGCATAAGTAATTTACATAGGGGTGTATAATGTGCAGAACTCTTTATGAATGGCTTAAATATACCATGATTTTGTTCCTGAAATAAACTGTTACTATTTCTGCCGCTGCAGAACAGTTAAGTCAAATTTTTGAATTAGGTCAACAAAATCCACAAATAGGGTGGAATCTTTGGACTGTCTAAGCAGGGACAGCTCTGGAATAAATCAGCCACAGATATCACTTGTCAGCATGCTGAGGGAGGCGTTTCAAATAAGGGTGGAAGGTACGTCAAGAATATTGGCTTCTGGTAGCATTATGATGTATCCGTTAAATCTATATTGAGAGTTTTCCATCATGTGGATTCAAACTAACATAATCATTTTATGGCAGTAATGTCTAAACAAGAGTCCACAATTAAGCTATATTTTTATCTTGACTTGTGAACTATTGCTGCCAACTACTCAGATTTCAAGCTTGTTGAGACATATGTTATCCCTGGAAACCCTTCATAAAAATGAAGCATTTTACTGTCCCCACCAATTCAAGTGTGTTCCGGTCAGTTCCCCATCGAGATCCAAATTAACCATGTAATAGTTCCTACACTGGTGAGTAGAATTTGAAATGGCTTTTTAAGCAAAACCAAAAAGAACAAATTTATTTCTATTTGTGCAAAAACATAATATGGTTTGGATTCTCTCTTCTAGCTTTTTAAATAGTGAGACAGGATTAAGTTGTGGGAAAAGAACTGGATACAGAATTAAGATCTGTATTTGAAATCTGGCTCTACTACAGCTTCTAGCTGTGTGATCTCATAAAGTCATTTAGTTTATCGAGCCTCAGTTTCTTTATCTGTCAAATGGGGAGCTGCTGGTGAGACAAATGAACTAATGATGATCTCATACATTAGCATACTACCTTTAGGACTTAGCAGCACTGTTCTGCAATTTGTGTATGTGAAGTTGCATAAAGGGTTAGTAGGGAACCGGAATGAAGAAAAGTTTCAGAAAGAGGCAGGGGATGTTTTGATTAAAAGGAAATTAAAATACTAGACAACAAGAGCAAGATAAGAATGATCACAGCGTCTGCATTTATAGCCCACATGTCGCAGTTCAGTATTTTTAGGTTTGTTAGTGACAGCGTCCCAGGATAGCAATGTTAATTACGAAGTAGCTGTCAGCTCCACGGACACAGCGCTGTTCACCTGACAGAGCTGAAACTGCTCACCATTTCCATAGATCAGCCTTTAATTTAAGGGTCCAAAACATACAACAATAAATCAGTTTGGGTTTCCGATGGTAATCTCCCAAAATCTTAGTTTGAAATGCCCTAGCGATTTAAAAAAAAAAAAAATCTTAGTGCAATGTATTTCCAAAATATGATTTGTAATTATCTGAGCTGGATGAAAACTTCAGGAAGAGGTGATGTGTCTGAGGCTGAATACACAATACTAAATGTATACTTAAATTTTCCAGAGCCCCAAATTCCTTTTTTTTTATTAAAATGCCATGATCAAAGCAATAGATATAATAAATATGAAGAGAGAGAATAGGAGGAGGAAAGAAAGAGAGATTGAAAAGAGGCTTGGGAAAATATTCAGTGGAAAATCTGTAGAAATGATGTAAGAGAAAGCAAAGGCAGGGATTGGAGTAAGGGGTGTATAACTGAGACTATAAAAACTCAGAGAGAAAACTCACCATCAGGGCTGAGTTTGGGAGAAACTGCACAGGCAGGACTCTAAAGTTAGAATCTCCTGACTTTTCACAAGGTAAGTTTGACATAAAAACTGATAAAACTTTCTTTAAGGATTTTTCTTCTTTTAGCTACTTTAAGATCTTATATCCTCTTAAATATTTTGGTTATATTTTGATTTTGTTAAAATTAGAAATATTTTGGGGGTAATATTTTCATCTCTAAAATGAGTAGAAAATCTAAGATAATTTTGTAATGCAAACCTTAGGTGGAGTTAATTGTTTGCTCAGACATTTCACATTTATTACATGATTTTTTGGCATTTATATTCCATTTCAAGACAAAGAGAAAGGAAACTCAAAATGTTGTTTCTATATGTATGTTAATAGTATTAGTTTACTACCATAAAATATGTCCAGTGTTAGAAAATGTTTTAATGTATAAAAGAGAACTGTTCTTATATTTATTTCTATCAAAATTGGAGTCAATGAAACATCTCTAAATTAAGTTCTACATTATTTAAACCTAAATTATCCTATGATTTTCTTCTATTCTTCAGTATTTGCTGAAGTGCTTTGGCTATTAAATGATTGAATTGAAAGTTAATCTGAAACATATATTTGAGTTCTGTTTAAGAACAAAGTTAAGATTTTGCTTCAAGGTTTGTTCTGTGGAAACATTGTACATTCCATAAATGCAGTTTAGCAATGCAAACTACTGTCCACTCAAATTACATTAATAGATTCTATAGATTCATAAATGTGATTATTTGTTTCTGAGTTATTTTTCTAGAAATTTCTACAATGATTTATGATGATTTTAATGTCCCTATAGGCTGTAGATTTGATAGGATTGTACTTAATTGTCTTCCCAAAAATATCAGGCATTTTTTGTGTCTCCTCTTAACTTTGGCACTTACCCTGCAGCAATCATAGAATTTTTGTTAAGGTGAGATTCCAGTAGTTATGAATTCAAGTCTCCTTTTTATAAGTTAATTGCACCATGGTTTCATTAAGTAAATTATTTAAGGTATTTAAGGTTGATATTTGTGTTCTCTTCCTCATTTTTCAGGGTTTTGAACTGATTCTTCTGTAATAAATCACAGAAATAAAGAGAAGTATATATGTTTAGTAGAGTTTGTTTGGGACATCAGGGGCTATAATTTCAACTTCTTGTTCAAATTCTTTCCATAATTTTAACAGTTGTATAATAAAGTTAGATTAATTGAGCTTGTCTTAAAGGAGTAGAACTCGAAGTAAGCAGTTCCAAAATACAATATTAGCCCAGCACTGTCACTATGCAGTTTTGCAACTTCAGGCAAGCCTTAAGCATGGAGTGAGGCTGAATAATGTTCTGGGGAAGCTCCCGTATCAGCAATTTTCCCTATGTTAGAGAATAAGCACCCAGATAGCAGGATCTTGGGGCTAATCTTTAGACATCATCTAATTTAACCTCCTTGTCAACAGTTCATCTTCTTTGATCCCTACTCACCGGACAACTATTGTTTAGATTCAATGGTGCCATGGGAGGAGCACAAGCTTTGGTTAGGAAGCACTACTTCTAATCTCAGTTCTGACTTCACCAGCCTTCACCTAACCTCCTAGGGATCCCTTTTCCCTCAGTAAAAGTAATCTCCTAGCCCTGGACACACCTCCACCCAGGCCAGCTCCCAGGTGCTTGAAGATCTCTCTGAATAAAGGCATTTTATTTTTTAGCTGAGCCCTTCTCTCTTTTCTCCAAATAATTCCCAGGGTACCTCTGCAGCAGTGGTTAGCATCAACTGCCATTAATTGCCAGTTTCTTGGTTGGCTTGAACTAGCTGTTGCCCAGCCTTACACTTTCTTCCTGTGGATGTCCCATCAGCTCTGTCCTCAGCACCAAGAACCTGCTCCCTCCTCTTCTTCATCCTCATATCTCTTTTATATCTCTCCCCATATCCTCTCCCTTGGGCAAGTTCATTGTCTTTGAATCTCACTCTTTTCATCTATTGAAGGTTTAAACTTGACAATTTCTGCCGAAACTGGTTTGGCTCAGTGGATAGAGTGTCAGCCTGCGAACTGAAGGGTTCGATTCCGGTCAAGAGCATGTACCTTGGTTGTGGGCACATCCCCAATAGGGGGTGTGCAGGAGGCAGATGATCGAAGTTTCTCTCTGATAGATGTTTCTAGCTCTCTATCCCTCTCCCTTTCTCTCTGTAAAATGTATGTATTAAAAAAACAAAACTTGACAATTTCTAATGAGAACCTCGTCCTTCCTAAAACTCTGTATTTTTATGACATGTAAGTTTCAACTTATGGGGGGTAAGGAGGAAACGCACCTTTAAAATATCACCCAGCCCACCACGGCACCCTGACTGCTGTCCCACGAGTCATAGCTGTGGCTTCTTGGGGCGATGTGTTGGTGATCACATTTCCCTGCGAGCTCTGACCTTCCCTCTACACCAGGTCTTAAAGAAGACTGGAAAGTAATGTGCTCTCTGCCTTGGCTTCCTTCATAGCCCATCCCCTCCTAGCTGTTCCCTTTCTTTGTAAAGTGTAGTCTCTGTTGCAAGGTCCTTATTTCCCATAAGGCTCATGGCGGCTCTGCTTTCCTGACGTAATCCTGACCATGCTATACACTCAGGATTACAGAAACTGTAAAAATCATGAATCTCACAACATAATGAGTGACTTTTTAAAAGTGAGATCGATAAAGACATATTGTGCATTATTAAATAAAAAAAATTCATATAAATTATGTTAAAATTAAAAAAAATTCAACTAAATATTCACTTTCATTAATTAGATCTTGAAACATAATTATGTTTTGGGTGTAACTGAGATTTCTTCCCTTTGTTTACTTCCCATCATGATATTCTCTATAGTTGTATGCGAATGTTTTAATAGAACAATTATGGCTGCAGTTAATGACAATGTGTAATATACTGCAATGTGAAATAGAGTAGTTGCCACTTATAAGTCTCTTTAGTGAAATTTCCTTTCCCTACTCAATATTATTTTCTATATTAAATCTAATTTTCTATCACTTTACCATAATTCTAGATTCCAAAGACTAACTTTGTTCCTTAAAATGAACATGGATAACAAAGATTTTCTCTTTTTTCCCATAAAAATATGTAAAAAAGTTGAAAAGTTGTTATACTCACAAAGCAGTACCAAGATGGCAGCTATTATTTATTGAAAAATTACTTTGTGCCCATCACTTTGCCTATATTATTTCTAATCCTTATAATAAACCTACAGAGTAAGTCTTTACCCCATTTTCCCAATAAAGATATTAAACCAGAGAAGCAAAGAAACCAAGTCAGGAATCAGACCCAGGTCTCTGTACCTTCAGAGCCAATCAGTGTTTTTCTGCCTATTCATTGTATTGTGCTGGAAAGTACCCACATACGGTATTACCAAAAGTTAGGAAGCTAGAGTTTTAAAGCAACCCAAATTGTGTCAGTTCGTTTATTAAAACAATGTAATTAGAATATTTTCCTTACAGGTCAAACATGACTGTTATGAGGACAAAAGGAGATAGATGAATACTTGCAAATACTTTTTTTTAAAGTTACATACAAAAATTGTGCGTGAAGGAAATGAAACATTCCAGGAATATTTGGAGGGAGAAATCCCTGGCAGGGAAATAATAGGGGCTTCTACCAGGCTGTGAGCAACAGGGAGAGTGTCTTACTCACTTTTACGCCCCTGACATCTGCTATACAGTGCATACTGATATAATAAATGCAGCCTGTTATTATAAAATTTATAGTTTTATCCCTTCATTTACATTTTAAAGAGTATTTTTCATGGATTATATTGGTTAGTTTAGTATAATTAAAATATTCACCAGTATTTAATTAAATATTATATCTAAGTACAAAGTGGGCAGAAGGGTGAAGGAGGTAGTGACATTCCACATCATCCTGAGGCTTACTATGCCTTATTTATCTGCATTCATCTAACTTATCCCTTTGAAAGCCTTTTGCTACCACAGAAAAATTGCCTGCACATCAAATGGCCAAGCAGCATGTCATGTGCAGCTCTACCAGCTTTTTCTTTCCACAGTTTAAAAGATTATGTGTTTTTTTTTCCTTTTATTTAAAATTAGAGTTAAACAACAAATGCCCTTACCAGGGCTGTATACAATCATACAGATTATTTTCTATTTCTAGGTGACAATAATAATTCAGGGATCTCAACATAAATGGATGTTTGATAAGGAGAAATCATAAACTATACTGGGATAATTACCAGGGAATATTGATGCAAGTGCCTTTCATTAGAATGAGAATCTGCCATGTGAAACATTAATTGACATACTGGGATTTTGCTGTAGGTAAAAAAAAAAACTTGGGCAAATCTCCTCTAAGCTTTAGTTTCCATATCAATAAAACAGTAATGTTAATATCTGCCCTGCATTCCTGTTTACCACCATATACGGCTGCTCTATGCATTTATTCAAAATAAGGTTGACTCTATAGCAGACATGGTATTAATTGCTAAAACACACTGGTGAGCATGACATCATTCTTACCCTGAAAGAGTTGACATTGACAACTAAACACTTTGCTAAACATGCATACCCAGGCTTTTAAATAATGAGATCTTCTTTTAAAGTGTCATTGTAGGTTTCTGCCTTCTTAAATTATTGAAAATTCCAAATGGAGAAAAACCTCAAAACTTTACAATTTTGGAAGGCAATAGTGTCTATAAAAGAATGAAAATGGTGCCAAAGAGAATGAAAGTAGTTAACACATGTATCATAATAAATTATCATTTTCCTGCTTTGTATCATTCAGGGAAAGTCGTTTTAAAACACAGGTGTCTTCCACATTAGGAACATTTCCTCCTTAGACATTTTACTCTATAAGCAACTTGTTTTGGGGATGGAAAAATGCTTTATACTTCGGTGTTTGAAAACGTAAATTGTTGTTCTGGCTCTTCTCCTAAATGACTTTGTGGCTTTGGAAAATTTCCTACTGACAATTGAAGAGCAATGAGAAATGGGAGAGGACTCATTCCTGACATTTTAATTTAAAAAAATAAAAACTGGAAATGTTAAACTTGTCAGTGTCACCTTCCTTTCAGG